TAGCACTTCTGTTTTGGCTTTGTGGAAGAGGTAAGCTGGCTCAGGGCTGCCTGCAGGCTCATTGTGGGTTAGTCTCAACTCTTGGGGCTCAGTGTGTGTAGTAGGACAGACCCATGGGGTCAAGGAAATTGGCTCAAACCAGTTGCCAAGGCATGCACATAACATACTTCCTTATGAGCCAACCTGGAGTCTGCCTGAGGGCCTAGCAACAGGTGCTGTCAGAGCTCCTGATCGTGCCCAGCCAATGAGGGATGACCATGCAATGCCACCAGATCGGGACACAGCCTGGGTGCTGGGAGGAGGGTATGTAAGGCCTTCCCTGTTATTGAGTAAACAAGTCTGCTGTTTGCCTTCATGGGACTCCCGGTGTCTGTGCGGTTGAAGCCGTGTCTTCCCACCCCCTCCCCTGAGGGATCCATTAGGATCAAGCAGCAAGTGTGCATACGTGAGAATGATAATCCATTACGTGATTCCCAGGGTTTCTTGGCAGATATCTTAGGTTTTTTGTTTGTTTTTGTTTTTGTTTTGCTATAACAAAACCGCCAAGTGGGCAGCTTTCACATTAATTTCTCACTGCTCCATTGGCTGGGAAGTGCACCATCCGTGGGCTGCCTGCTTCACTGCCCGGAGCAGGCCACTTCCTAGTTCATAGACGATAGTGTTTCACTATGAATAGGGTAGGGAGTTTCTGTCATAAGGGCACTAATTCCATCGATGAGGGTTCCATCCTTATGACCTAATCACTCCCCAAAGCCCCACACCAACTACTAAAATACGAACTTGGGAGTGGGGGATACAAGCACTCAGCCCATTGAGATAGGTTTTCCTCTCTGGTAGCTCCCAAGTTCTATCCTTCAAGAGAAGCAGAAAATAGCCCATTCGGTCACTGCGGAAGGTCGTATTTCCCAATCTAGCTCTAACCAGGAGTTTTTTACCTTCTGCATTTGCCCTTGTCAATTGCTCAGTAGTTTCAGAACCCATGGAGGAGAGGCTAGTGACCGAGAACAAGGACAGAAGCCTGGCATTTTCATCAGCACCAGAGACTCAAATCATGCTTTTCAGTGAGACTGGGGAGGTTGGCGTTAAGGGACCGCTGGAAGAAGAGAATGAAGCCAGCGGCAGTAAGTATGATTTACTGCAGATGTCAGTGTTCGGATTGCTTTTGCCCGGGGCACGTGCCAGTCCTTAATGCAGCTGATGAAAAGTGGATTGTGGCATTATCACCATGTAAGTCACATGCATTTAATATTATTATGGAAGAGGAAGGACGCTTTCCTTGAAGAAAACAGATGTAAAGCAGATAAGAAGAAAGGTACATTCCATCTATCCATAAAATGTACACTGCCTTCACCACAGCGCTAAAGCATTCCTTATCTATTAAATAAAGATAATTATTCTTGGCCGGGTGGTGGTGGCGCTCGCCTTTAATCTCAGCACTCGGGAGGCGGAGGCAGGCAGATCTCTGTGAGTTCAAGGTCAGCCTGGGCTACAGAGTGAGTTCTAGGAAAGGTACAAAGTTACACAGAAAAACCCTGTCTCAAAGTAGAAAAAAAAAATTATTCTTACACATCTGTGGTCATTATGAAAATTGATAAAAAAAAAAAAAGTAAAAATAATTATAAAAATGAAGCTGAGTGTTATGGTACACTGTGTGGTCACAGCCCTTCAGAAGCAGAGGCAAGATTGTCACAGAATGGGGGCCATCTTGGTCTATAAGCTAAGTTCAGGCCAGCCAGAGGTATAGAGAGAGACCCTGTATAAAAAAAACAGACAGACAGATATGTAGATGTAGTAAGTGTTCAAATTGTGTTGATATTTTTTTTGAGCTGAGGATCGAACCCAGGGCCTTGCGCTTGCTAGGTAAGCACTCTACAACTGAGCTAAATCCCCAACCCAGATATTTTTATAACTACTAATTCAATACTACTTTGGCAATACATTTGAGGACATCTTGGTTGGTGAATAAAGGTTTGTATGCTAATCATGATGTGGATAATGAATCTGATTGATTTTTCAAGTGGGAGCTAAATAAAAGCCTTAATTACCTTTGTATTATGCATTACTTACTCAACTGTATAATACCACATGAAGCAAATATGAGATTTATCCACATTCAGATTGCGTGACTCTTCATTCTAAAAAGAAATGCAAAAGAAAAAATACATGTTAAATTTGAAATAGATACCAATATAAGCCTGAACATCACAGAGGAACTATTACTTACCTGAGAGTAGAGGAAAATAGATTTTAGACTAGAATTAATAGCATACATACAGAAGGTGTTTAATGCCTCAGTTTCTCTGTATTTACTAGAATGAATGGCAAATTTTGGAGATGTCTGGCAACTTGCTATCCTTATTGTGTCTATCAAATTTTTCTCCCTCGTGGACGCACACATCTGTTCATCTTCTGGATCAGTGATTCTCAACAGCCCAGAAGACAGGGTATGTTTGGCAATGTGTGGAAATGCTTTTGGGTGTTACAACTATCTGTTGTGGAATGTGTGGAAATGCTTTTGGGTGTTACAATTATCTGTTTGTTTTGCAAATGAGCAGATTATTACTCTCATTCATTTGCATTCAGATGGTTTTCTTGAATTGAAGAAAAGGAAGGAGAATAAAAGATAAATCTTCAGTTTGCATTTGGTCCTGGATATTGCCATTGGAATGTGTGATATGAGACCTATTCATCTGAAGTATGAACCTAATTAGTCTTATCAATAAAAACCAGGAACCAGATATCAGGGCAAAAACCTGGAAGATCAGAAAAGCAAGGGAGCAGCCACAGTCACTTCCTACCTCTCTGGATCCTCTGACCAAAAGAGGCCAAGATCCTGTCTCTACTCTGCCTTATCACTTCCTGTCTCTGCCTCCTGAGTGCTGGGATTAAAGGCATGAGCCACCACCACTGCCTGGCCTCTGTAGTTAACTAGAGGCTAGATCCACCCTCTGATCTCCAGGCAAGCTTTGTTTGTCAGAACACAAACAAAATATCACACATTTCCCCCTTTTGTCTAAATAAAAAGTGAAGGTTTTTAACTGACATAGAAAAACTATATATAATAAGTACAATAGCTATATACAAATACATATAGGCAATAATTACATTAACAATGTCTAGTCCATTAGCATTTGACAAATTGAGGGAAAATATTCCATTATCTATCCTATCTTGGTGAGTCCAAAGTGTTACACCTAAATCACTTCCTATCCTAACTTGCATTACCAACCCAAAACTATCTTTTTATGTCTTTCAACCTTAAACACTTTACACCTCTTTTATGAGTGTCTTTTCTGAATTTGTTAAAAAGGAAAAGTACAGCTATCTAGTCTTCAACTCCATCAGAGACCTGAGAAGGATGTATTTATTACCTGAGCAAACAGTAAGTACAGAGCAAACAACTTCAAAATTTAAAAAATGACAGAAGCAGCTGTCTGCCTGGACAGTCACACAAGGTTCCTCTGTAATGCTGGGGCACCCATCTTCGACCCGCAGGCCTAGAGTATCTGACAGACTTTTCTGTGAAGCAGGATTTTTGAAGGACTGTCCCACCTTGTCTTGGCAAAGTTTGGTAGTCACATTCTTTTCTGTCCTGCTTGGCCACTTGGACAGGTGATGCAAGGGCACTTTCTTGCCCAGTGGCTAACTTTTGCCACAATGAAAGTAAACTCCATATGGAGTTTCTTCAAAGCCCATCTGCAACTGAATGTCGCGACACAGGTGTGTGGGTGCACACAGGTCCATGGAATGAGGACTCAGAGGCATCTTAAGAATGAATCTAGCCTTTCCTGGCTGCAGGGGGGTCCAACCTCGAAGGACTGAAGCACCTTCCCTTGGCCTTGGGCATTTTTATTTCTCTCCATTACAGTTCAGCCAGTTAATTTCCATATGCTCAAAACAACCTGAAAGGGGATCCCAACAATACAATGCCAAGTGCAAATTCCTTGATTTGTCAGGTACCATGGTTTTCTGGGTTTCCTGAATCAAGTTTTGCATAGGCCTTTGTATCCTTGGGAAACTCCAAGACAAGATTCACATAGAGGGCAACAAGAGAAGCAAAAGGTATCTGCTAAACAAAAGATGAATTAGGGCTAGTTGTTGCTCTCTGGAGCCAGGCCAGGTACAGCTCAGCAGGAATGCCACCACACCCATCATCTTCTTTGGAGTAAATTGATGCTGCCAGGAGATGACATGTCTCATTGTCATTAAAAAAAAATCCCTATGTTATTAAATCATCTTAAATTCCATATTCTGTAGGTCTCTGAAGTGTTTGAAGACCACTTGCCTATATAAAGTATATCTCTGGTTGACTTTGAAAACATACCTAACATGACTAAAAGTTTGATTGTAATAGGTGACTAACTACTGACCTGCATTTCTTTATTATCCTAAATAGTTTGTAATAATAACTTTCAGGACTAGAAATTTACATTACATTGTTAGATGAGCTGTATAGGTACAATATCTTGAACAAGAGAAGAAATGTAAGTACAGTATGTTCTAACAAAAATAAGCTTAAATTTGTATCAATATACAAAATCC